CAAGATATCCATTATGCATATGCACATATTCCAAAATTTATTAAAGACATCTCTAATTCTAAACATTCTGTTCCAAGCACTTTTGTAAAATCACTCAACATCTATATAATGGCCTGACTTTAGCATTGCTAATATGAAAGAAAGGGATATGCATACAGCAAAGGAAAACAGGGAATGAGGACTTGGACAGGTTTTTCTAGCTGTTTAGTTTTGGGAAAGTCACAAGTCTACCTAAAGCTTCACCATTTTAACTGCAAAGTATAGCAAAGTATTGTTCTCAGATGATTACTGTGGAGGATGTGCTGAACTACAAAGACTAATGTTAACTCTCAATAATTTTAGTGTTAATAGCATTGTTATTGCTATTAAGATTCCTGCCTAATACACAAGAATTAGGGAAAATTCTATCTTCTTTTCCCCATTCTTGATATACTACTCTCTAACAGCTTGGTAATCCAGTCTTGAATTTCAAGTAGGCAGTAGCTGTGTTGCTTCTAGGAGACGTTGGAGAATGTAGTTCAAAATGTGTCCCAATTTTCTGGGTGTCTTATGCAATTCAAAATGTGGCATTTTCAATGAGGAAAAAGATGTTCTGCATGTTGCGTAGGCATGATGGGGTATGAAGGAACTCTCATCTGAAAGGCAGAAAAAGGGCTTCCCACATTGTATATTCTCACAGAAGCAATGCTCTGCTAGAGTTCTACCTCCTGAAACACCCAGTGAAAGCAAATAGCTGAAGAAGGACTGATTCATCGTTTATATCAAGGGCCTAGAAGACGTAGTGGCACACGTTTGCTTGGAGTGGCTATTACTTTGACTTGAGCCTTGCATATTTATTCCTCTATCACCCCATAGAATCTGCAATCTACATTTAATGTTGTACTAAAAACACTAACCTCTAACTGGCTTATATCATTTTCATCAGTCTACATGTTCTATGAAATCCCTAATGTGTTCATCTTTGTATCTCAAGGTTTGACAGATTTAAACATTTAAGTAGTTATTTTTTATTAGGTGAATGAAAGGATGATGACAGATATATATATTCCATTATCTCTTTCTCTAACAAGATCAAGAAGGAATAACATTAGTAATACATGTTTTTTTTATGTGTGGTTTCTTCATTATGCAGCACATTCAAATGCACGATGTCCAACCAGAGGGCACATTGGAGTAAACCAGAAGTAAACCAAATTCCTACCTGGCCCCCTTGCTAGAAAAATGCCTAGTTGTTGAAGAAGCTGCCTAAACTTAAACAAAACCTCTGTGACTATTTACCTCCCAGAGAGATTAAATACCTTTCCTAGCACATGTGTAAACTCCTGCTTACAGCCAGCTGGACTCATTCCATGTTTTATTTTGACAGGGCTTAAGCTAACAGACAGCAAGAACTGTCTGTTTAGTAAGGAGTTAGCAATGTAACTCTTTAAATGACTGTTATATAATATGTATTCCCAAGTTACTGGGCTCAATTAATTCTCATCATTCACTTATGAACCAGACAGTCCACTTCTCCCTAAGGGGTCTGACAGAGAGAGAGAGACCATCTGCTGTAATGTTTTCGGTAAATTTTTGGTCAACTGCAAAACCTGTGGGGCTCTCAGAGAATGGAACATGACGCCGAATGCTTGATGAGGCTATAAGATCCAAATTAACTTCAGATTCATTTGTTACAGGGACAAGGGAAAGGTGAAAAAGATCAGAGGCAAAGACTGAACCCATGCAGAGAAGGCCTTGACTCCCCATAGCTTCTGTGCTTTTTATTAATTCTGACATTTAGCATTGTGCTCTGAGGTCTTAGTGCAGCAAAAAGAGGCCTGTGTGGGTTAGAAAGAATACAGGACAAAAATCAAGAGCAAATGTCTTCGAGGCCAGTAACCATAGCAAGTAAACATGACAAGTCATTTTATCATTCTGGGTCTCAGTTTATACCTCTGTAAGATAAACATATTCATAGTTTTCCTCAGTATTCAAAATATAAGAATTCTATGCCTTATACTGTATCTGACAGAACTCTAGGTCAAGCTTTTGTCTTTGGTCACAGCCACTGTGACTGCCACTTGGTACAGCAATGACAAGTCAGTTTGGATGACTGTTTTTCCCAGTCCCTTAGCCCCTCCCCTTACACTTCCTGTTGACTTCAGTGGAAGAACTGTTTTTCTTAGTCCTCTTGGCTTAGTGGCTCACACACAAAGAGAACCTTAGCATCCCTCTGTAAGATGCAGAGGTTATGTTGCTCCTCCCAGATTATTCTAATTTTAATTTGATCACGTGAGAGTGGTCCCCAGCGAATTTAGACTCCCTTTACACTAGATGTCTTTTCCATAGATACAAAGAACAGTTCAATGTTCCTTAATCAAAGAAGTAATTTTCTTACTGCTAATTTGGCTTGACAATCTCAAACTTTAACTACTTTTTGTGTTTTCTTCTTCCCTCAGTGGTCAAAAGGTATTAAAGATGCACTTCATCTGGAATAGAAAAAGAAAGGAAAGTAACAATTCTAGAGTGCTTCTCTGAACACTGCTTTCTACCTATGTCTATAGACTCTACATCAAAGGAAGATAAGAGTCCTGTTTTTTTCCCCGACCCACCTTCGCAATCCATGAGTTACACAGGAGCCCTGAGTGGACTGAATATTCTGCTCTAGATGTGAGTACTCTAAATTCAATTACCCTAGAACAGTGATGGTAAAATTTATAGAACTTTTAATGGTGACAAACAGCCGGCTGTGGCATGCATACCATTGGGTTCACTACCATTGCCCTAGAACCTTTTACTACAAAGTGGTACCTGAATAGTATGATGCCCTACTAGCCAAGGTGTGGCCTTTGAGCTCCACCAAGGAGAACTGCTGATGAAAGCAAAGTCACAGGTTTTAGTCACACGGGGTCAGTCCATAATGCTCTCTTTTGCGACTGGAGTTGATGTGCCATCTTAAAAATATGCCTAGGCCCTCAATGGAAACTGATATACAAGAGGACCTAGATGGATTCTGTGCCAATGTGTGAGGAGCCAAGACACTGTCTGAGTACTCAGGGGTCCCCTGTAATCTCACAACACACCTGTGCAATAGACTTGTTAGGTCTTTTTACAGAGAAGGAAGCTGAGACTAGAGACTTTGAGGAACTTGTCCAAAGGAACAAAAGTCTCCTTTGATTCCTAAGTCAATTTTCCCAATACGACATGAAATTTCCAAACATATGCACTTTGCTTTAAAAACTCCCTCTTTTGTAAGAGCAACAAATGATCAAAAGGTGTCCAGTAGCAGAGAACAAAGAAATGATAATTGTTAATGCTGAATAACAGTTGTGATTCAGTGCTGGTCTTTGAATTTTATTTTGCTCATTTTGGAAATATGTTTAATTGTATTCAGAAGAATGGGAATAGGGAATTTCAAATGAACACTTCTCTGGAATATGATCCTGGGTAAATATGACCTTTCTGTTACCTGATACTATTCGGAAGTTCTGGGAGGGTCCAATCTGATTTTCCTATGAATGTATTGTTCAAAAACTGTCTGCTGTCTGTTTGGGGAATGAGGAGCTGAAGCTGGCGTAGATTGGCTCTTACTCTGAGGAGTTGCCTGTGTCCATCTCCTTCCAGTGCTACACTCAGTGACAGCCCAAAATTGGCTAACATGGGTGCGCCACAGCATGGAAATCAGTAATCTATACAAACCTGCTTCTCCCTCCCTTTTGTGATGAAATGTTTACTGTACCTTTACCGCTTTGTCATTTTTAGACATTGATATCTGGGAATCAAGTCTCCAGGCCAGTTTCCCAAGAACTCTGTTTCTATAAGAGGACATCAGGGTCTTTGAACACCAGGCACTGGCAACATGATATGAAAATCTTCCTGCCTACTGACCCACTACAAGAAGTGTTGCATACTTTGCAGAGCTGTCCAGAAACTTTGAACAGAATTTCCTTAAATTCCCTCTACAATTCTCAGGAAAAGCTAGGAATAGTTATTCTCTAGAGAAAGTCAAAGAGAACAAGGAGGGAAGACATCCATCAAGAGAAGACTTTAAATTGTTCTCCAAAAATTGTAATATGTCCCCTAAAATTCCAATGTAGATTTTCCTATTTCTGCATAAACAAAAAGTAGTACACAGGCCACTATGAAAACTGAGCAAGAAACTTTAATAGATGTACTGACAATAGGGACTATATAGCAGAAGTGCCATCCAGTCCAATGTGGAGACATCTTTGGACTTTCATGGTCCATCTGGAAAAGAAGAGATATCCCCTCATCTATGCTTGGTGCAGGTATAAAACTATATGATAATTCTAGAAAATTGTGTGGTAATACATTGTACTGGAAATCAAACTGAGGACCATGTACTTGACAGGCAGGCACTGTGCTGCTGACCTGGCAATTTGTATTTTACTTGGTCCACACAAAACACCGTTAGTTGTAACTACAAACTAGATACAGCATTGTGTGTGCTTTATAACCAACAACAGGGTATTTATGGTGCATTCATATAACTGATGAAGAGGAATGAACCATTGATACATAGTGACATGAGTGTATTTTTAAAAACAGCGATTGAGCAAAATAGTACATGCTTCATAATTCGATTTGTATGAAATTTAGGAATAGTCACAATTTATCTATGGTCTCAGAAAGCAGAAGAGCGGTTGCCTGTATTCTAAGGGTGGACGAATTCGCTCCTGGAGGGTATGAGGGAACTGGGGATGAAGCAACGAAAATGCCCAAGCTCTTGAAGTGGAAGGAATACAGTTGTCAAAATCCATCAAATTGTGCACTGTACATTAGAATTCATTTGAAATGTGTGTATGCATATAAACGCATTTAAACTGCAAACACAGCAAGCTCATCTATTGCAGTCCATCAACTGGCTCGGGTCAGATCCAGCAACATCAACTCCCTCCTGGCCCCCCCAGGCACAGGGACTTTATGGCCCCTTCAAGACTCCTATCCGGACTCTGCAGGACGTTGCTGAGAGCTGAAACGTTGAGCAACCTTTGCCTGAAACTTGCCAATTTCCTATGGCGGACACTAAGGCCCTCTGGGGCATCCTAGACTTTGCATGGGGCGGGCCTAACTTTGCAGGCCACGGGGAATTCCTGGCCCGGGTCATGAGTCAGCGCCCACCCCCGCGATCGGGCAGGCGGGACGCTCCCCATAAAGCAGCCCGCGCGGGGCTGCACCGCGCTCCAGCTGCTGCTGGGGCTGCGCTGCCGCCGTCCAGCCGTCCGTCCGTCAGTCTGTCGGTCGGTCCGGGCCGCCGCCTGCCACGCGCCATGCAGCCCGCCAGGCCCCGGGCGCTGTGGCTGCTGCCGCTGCTCCTGGTCTGCCCCGCGCCGTCCCGCGCCAGCCCGGAGCCCGCAGGTGCGCCTCGCAGCCCCCGCCTGCAGCCCCCGCCTGCAGCCCCCGCCTGCAGCCCCAGGCCCAGGCCGGCTCCGAGCTGCGCTCACCCCGCCTTCCCTCTCGTCCTCCCACAGGAAGCCAGGCGGAGGTCTGCCTCCTGCCCCGGGACCCCGGGCCCTGCCAGGCCCCGGTCACCCGCTACTACTACGACAGGTACAGGCAGACCTGCCGGAGGTTCCTCTACGGGGGCTGCGGGGGCAATGCCAACCAGTTCGCCACCTCGGAGGCCTGCGAGGATGCTTGCTGGAGGATCCAGGGTAAGGGCCGCTGATGGGAAGCCTGATTCCTCCTTGGGGGCTGCGAGGAGCTGGGGGAGCGCCCCGAACCGCACCCCACTGGTTTGCTGCTTTTGCCTGAAGCTTCAGCCTGAATAGTCCCAAGTGTTCAGCCTGCCTCTCTGGCCTCATGTCCCAAAAGTAGTTACAGATCTGCAAACACTGTCACAATCCTCTCACCTGACCTGTACCCTAACCCAGGGCCTGCAGTTCTCCTTTTTTGTTTTGGTTCACCACAGAGCATAGTAAGGCCAAGATAACAAAGTGTTAGACACCACGTGAATGCCTTTCTGTGTTTACTACTAGTTTCAAACTTAGAGTTTCTCTTCTGCCACCCAGAACACGCCCTTTGTTGCTGTCCACTGTCCATCAGCCACTTCTGTGGATTTCATTATGGAACCGCGATTTAGTTCATATGTAGCTTTGCTTTTGTCCCCTGAAACCAAAGTGTGCCTTGTGTTACTGTAGGGATATTATAGAGATTCAGAAGCCTGCATTTTGTTTACTTTTTAAAAGTATATTAGTCAAGGCTATACAAGGGTTTTACCATGTAAGTAACTGAGCCAGGAAGAAATGGATATGAATATGAATATGAATAACCTTTGATTAACTTCGTATGTAGAAGTAGAGAACAGAAACTGCACTGAATATGAAAGAAATATCATAGCTGAGTCAAGTCGAGGGAACTCACCAGATTAATGGGCAATGTTTGGGGAGTTTACTCATCTAGTACTAACTATGAATACTTTTCTCACACTTGTTTCTGTAAGTAAGAATAAGAAGGCTGCTTCTGGCTAACTCTATTTTCTCACTCTTCTTTTCTTAGAAGTTCCCAAAATTTGCAGGTTTGAAGTCAATAAGAATAAGTGTGGCAAGTCTAGTAAGGAGTATTTCTTTAATCTAAAGACCATGAGGTGTGAAAAATTCCTATCTGGTGGATGCCTCTACAATGCAAACCGGTTCCCTGATGAAGCTTCTTGTATGAACTTCTGTGCATCAAAGAAAAGTAAGGATTATTTTTATGCTATTTCAGTCTTATTTTTCTATTGAGATTTTTGTGTGAAACAATAGTTTGGAATTGAGGGATGTAACTCATTGGTAGAGTCCATGCCTAGTGTATGAAAGGCTCTAAATTAAATCTTCAGTGCTTCAAAAAGGAATCAGTGCTTTGATATCAAATTGAAATGGTTTATATTTTCTAGAGTTCACATATACAATGTGAAATTAATGTTAACTCTGTCATCCTGTGGGAGTATTTTGTCCCATTTTTACACATGAAACTACAAACTAGAAGTTAATGATTTTCCAGGTTCTCAGGGCTGGAAAATGGCATTGCTGTTACTCAGATGTTGCTACCTTTGCTGGGTTGTTTCCTTAGAACTACAGGAAACAACATCCCAAATCTGGAAATCTAAAATTGGAAATTGTCCAAAACCTGAAACCTTTTGAGTGCCAAATATGATGCCACAAGTAGTACTCTTCATACTTGATCTCATACTGGCAAAGTGCAAACACACAAAAACTCTTTTTTAAAATTACCTTCAGTCTATGTGTATGAGATGTACATGAAATATAAACTAATTTTGTGTTTAGACTTAACGTCCAGTCCCCAAGATACCTCATTATGTGTATGCAGATATTCTAAAATTTGAAATCTGAAACCCAAACCATTTTTGGTTCCAAGGACTCCAAAAAGGGATATTCAACCTGTATTTCTGATCTTCTTAATTAATATATAAATTACTGTATTCATTAATGAATGATTTGACCTCAAATTTGTATGGAATCAGTTTTTTATATGAGATAGGGCATATATATAGACTTAAGAGTTTAATTAGATTTTATAATTTTTAGTAACTGCAAATTACAGGATAAAAATATCTTTATCCTATAATATCCCTGACCTTGGCGTGATAGATCAGTTGGGCAGTATTTAATGTTTGTGGAGAGAGATGATATGTGCATCTTCCCAGATACATCAGAAACACATAGATTAAAAATATCACACCAAACCATAAAGTTTTGCTTTGGAAGAGACTTTGATTAAACTATGTAGCTTATATTGTTAAATATACAAAATCTTCAATCAGTGGAAAAATGGTTATTGATGATATTAAGTTGTTTGAGTAGTTGTAAAAGTTCCAGTAATTGGACTTAAAAATGACATATGTACTCTTGCTTAACAATGGAAGAAGAGCTAATGAAAACATTTAACATAAAATTATCAACACAAGAAAGTTTACCAAATTATATATGCATTTTCCCTCGAAACAACTCATATTTACATGGCTATGTCTGATTTAGGGTATTACATGATTTCATGTTGAAAGGTTAAAAGACATTGCTCCAGAAGATACTTGGTCTGGTTTCCAGAAATCTAGAATTACCAAAATGCAGCATGTAAGCTTACCTACAATTTGAAGCACCTACTTAAGTGATGATGGATTTGGAATGCAGGGTTTTATGGGATTAGATTTCTATAGGTATTTCCATAATCATCACCATGTACTAAATTTTGCATTATAGCAGTTCTATTTTATTTTCTTTTTCATAAAGTGCCATCATTTTGCTACAGTCCAAAAGATGAAGGATTGTGCTTTGCTAATGAGACTCGCTATTATTTTAATATGAGATATAAAGCCTGTGAGACCTTCACCTACACTGGTTGTGGAGGAAATGACAATAATTTCTCCGACTTGAAGGACTGTCAGCGAGTTTGTGAAAAAGGTAGTGAATGTTTCCTTATTCAGTTTTTAAATAAACTTTTAAAATGATTAGTAAGGAAGAATGTATTTTAGGAACCTATTTTACTAATCGCAAATTTCCATTTCTAGAATAACTCTGCCAGAATAGTGCTTATGTACTAATCTGTCTTGTCAAATGCTTGTCTGAGCTAGATACAGTGGATAAAAGTTAGAACCTTATTTAAGGTAGAAATGTTTCAACTGAGTGTACACTGAGTCAGCTGACTTCATTGTCAGAAAAATAAGATTGTCTAAGCATATTGGAAAAGTGATTTAAATGAGCCTGCACACTGGGAACATAAAATATTGATGACTATTTTGTTGACTTTAGCCTACAAGAGAGGAAAAAGGAAGACACAAATTCCTCCCTTTTCCATTAGAAGACCAAAATCTTGGAAGAAGGTATTTTAAGAATTTTCTTCTGTGTCATCTTGTGAATAACTATTGCCTGAATGGAAGTATCTGAAGAATAACAGGGTACCATTGGAGAACAAATCATTGGAGATTTATTCACCGGGTTTTTATTGATATGTCACTTTTTCACTTGTACCTATTTTATATACAACTAATATTCAGATGTGAACTCCTTTTTATTTGCTGTTCAAATGTTTATGAGACTGAGCTGTTGCTGTGCATAAGATATAAAAGAAAATATGACTCAGTTCTTATGGTTGCTAGTCCTTATTTCAGCACATAATCATATTGAAATATTATTAGACAGTTTATTTACTTTTAACATAAAGGAGCATAAACAAAACTGGAAGATACATGTCGTTATGAATTTAAAAGTTAAATTATATTTTTGGCCCCAAAAAACAAAGTTTCAGTTTTATTAGCATTTTGAAAAATAATCCAATATGTAGATCTACTAACTGTATTTCCAATTCTGTTGTGTCACATTATAGTGTAATGAGTAAAAGGACTTATTTAAAATATAATGAAATATTTTTGACTGAATTAAAAAGTTAGCCAATTTATCAAACTCAAAAATGTCCTCAAATTAAAAATATTTGTATACCTATTTTTTCTAAAGACATCTATTCGTACATGTATATGTTTATATATTTATCACTCTTTTTAAAAAGTTTTTTGGTGGTACTGGAGATCAAACTCATGACCTCACGCTTGCCAGGCAGGTCCTTATGCCACTGAGCCAAACCCACCGCTGCTTATACATTTAGAAAAATGATTTTTAGAAGTTTTTGTTGCATTATTGGATAAGACAAAATGAGTTGGCAACCAATACAGTTATAAAGATTTATTTTTAGAATCTTTATAAATTTTAAAAAGGATCATTACAGTGAGATAGTTTTCTTTCTTTGTTTCTTTGAATAGATTTTTAAAATTTTCTATATTTACTTTACAAAATTTGCCTCCTAGCAAAACTGACAAGTGTATTTGCCTTTTGCTTAAGCAATATCTCACTCGACATCCCAGCCCAGCGTTATTTTGATAAATACATTTATGCCTGAGAACGTTATTTGATTCTGGAAAGCGGTGAGAAACTGGCTGTTCAACAATGAAAGATTGGTTGAAGAAATTATTTATGAAGAATAAGCAAATTACCTATACCTACCTGAATATCATCTGATCTTAAGAATACATTTTTAAAAAGAGCACATAAAAAAGACCCAGAACAACGTGAACAATATACCACATCGTCATCATCACAAGAGATACGAAAGTGTTAAAAATGGTTGCTCAGAGTCAGATGTTGTGGTGCTCAAATGTAATCCTAACACTCAGAAAGCTGACAAAGAAGGATTCCAAGTTTGAGGTCATTGTGTGCCACACAGTGAGTTCAAGGCCAAGAAGTACTACACAGAGAGATTTTGAGAACAAAACAAAACAAACCACAAACAGGTTACCCATCATGGGAGGCAGTGAAAAGTAGGCATGTATAAGATAAAATTTATGGGAATTCTCCTTCTTGTTTAAAGCTTGTACCATGTAATACTTTATATTATTTGAAATAAAAATAAAAGACCTTTAAACATGGAAAGTAACGCAAAACAATCAAATTCAATTTATTATCAAATAGCGTCATAATTACCCAAAAGATATATATTTATTCTCAGCAACTTTCAAAACCAGTATTTTGATCATACATCTTTTGGATATACAATCTAGGGACCAAAATTTTCTGAATAAATTGTAAAATTTATAAATTTATATATACTTATATATATGACTAGTAAGCATTTATATATATAAATTTATATGTAATTTAAAAATTATATATAGTACCATATTACTCCAAATTCTATTAAAAAACAAATATTTGCATTTCTTTGGATGTCAGGGATCCCAATTTGAAAATAAAAATTATACTAGTATAAAATTAACAGACTAGAAGCATTTAAATTGGAGTTAGAAATAGTATACGAACATATAACTTACTTGCTTTCAAAAATATGACTTTCCATCTTCCTTTGAAAAGTCCTAAAAGTGATGATCACTCAATAGCAAAAATTTTACCTACCATTCGATTTCAGTGTCTCAATATACCTCACTAAAATGAACCATTGCTCTTAGGACAAATCTCTAAATCCAGGTCTGGGGCAAGAAATAGATCAAATGAACCTCAGCCATTTTATTCTAGAAATCAAAGATACCATAAAAGACTAAATGAGTCTAATCACAAAAAAGAGAGTGACATTAAGACCTAAAATAATAGGAACATCAAAACAAATAATGACTTCAATATGTATAGGTACAAATAACAGAAAAACCTACAGCACTCATAGTTATATATGATACTACTTGTTTTCCAACTTCCAGAACAAAATAGTTGACATTCACAGCTTAAAAGTGGGGAGATTTATGTGGCTGACAGTTTCCAGCGAGTTCAGTGATGAATGGAACCAAAAAACATGGTGGAGGAAATCTGCTCACTCCTTGGCAAGCAGGAAGCAGAGAGGAGAAGGGGAGAATGAGGCAGCAAAGAAGGGGAGGGAGAGAAGGAAGGAGAGATGGGATGAGAGAGAGAGCACCTAAGACAGGGAGGGGGAGAGGAGAGAATGTTACATTCCCAGTGCTGCATTTCTTCCAATCAGGCCCTACCTCCTAACAGTACATGCAACTACACACTCATCAGTGGACTAATTCACTGATGAGCATAGTACTCCCATGATCCAATGATCTTTCAAAAGCCCCACCTACAAATGAGACTTTTTGAGGACATTTTAGATTTAAATCACAGTATTCCACCCCTGGACCCCAAAAGACTCATGGCCATCTCATTATGCAAAATGCATTTAGTCTATCTCTAAGTTTTAAAAATTGCATCTTTGCTAAAAATCCAGTCCAACATCTCTGCGATTCAAGGCAAATTCTTAGATGTGAATCCCTGTAAAAATCAGAAAGAAAGTTAAATATTTGCTATTAGAGACCTTTTTCATGGTGCCAGTTAACAGAGACTCCTATAGTAGATTACCCCGTATGGTGGGAAAAAAACAGCAAGAGACAAAGAAAGTTGGGGGTACAGGCAGGAATCTGGGATGACCAGTTGTTTGCTCTGAACGAAAGGCCATGAGGCACCCAGAGTCTTGGTATTTACTTGTTACAGCTGAGTCAGGTCAGTGAAAGACAGTGGGTGTTTCTGGGAACAGTAATAGCAACTATGGTTGGCCAGGAAGATCAAAGCTTTCTTGCAAGGACAAGGACTAGATGGGGGCAATGAGGAAACTGTAGTTTCTCCAGATGCCTATTGTCCCCAGCAGGTTTTATCTTGCCCTGGGAGCAGCACAGCAATCATTTAGCCCTAGGGCTTTCAGCTTGTGACAAGAACGGGAGAGTTTCTGCATTCAAATCTAGCTCAAGGATAGGACAAGAACAAGCATGGACATCCACTTGCCTCAGTTTATAATTCATGGGCCCAGCAACTTACACCAAAGAGCAGCGCAGAGTAAACATTTCCATTCTGAAAGAAAGGAGTAGGAAGATAGGAATCAGTTCAAAGCAAGAATGAAACTCAACAGCCCAAACATTAACTCTGGTAGCTACCCGGGGCAAGCTGTGGCCAGATGTGAACTTCCAAGGTTTTGGGAAGCCCTGCTTCTATGATCTAACTGGTTGTGACCTCCATGACCTCTTTGGGATGGCTCTGCTTGTTGCTTCCCAGCACCTCTAACTTCCTGGAGTCACAACTGCACTTTTGGCTTCAGTCTTACAGCTTCACATTTCACCCTGCAGAGACACATTTCCTGGACTCCTAGACCTTCCTTGAAAATCTGGGTGAATGATTCTATAACTCTATAGCTCCTGCATTCTGCATGCCTGAAAAATCAGCACCACATAGACAGTGCCATTGTCTGTCAACAGCTCAAGCAGTAGCCTGGCCCCCTTACACCATGACTCCAGCAGCCTCGGAGTGCCTGGATAAATAAGTTTGGGGAAACACTTCCCTAGAAAGTGAGATGTGTGCCTTGGGGCTCTGTTAGCAAAGTTCTTTTAGGAGTTTATCCTCTTCCAGCTTTGGGCCTATCATGTGTGCCATTGGTCCATGAAGAAGAATGCCTTCACAGCATCTATTCTATTATCCTGATGCAAAGTATTTGGCTTCTTTTTAATGCTAGTCTTGTCAGGAATCACACTCCCTATGGCTCTAAGTTTATAGAATATTCATTTGTGGTGAAACTGCAAAATTTTTACATCTTTTGGCACTACTATTTGTTTTTCATTCTCCTTGTAAATCTGGCCAAAAGCAACCAGCAATACCCAGCCACAGCCTGAATATTATACTTCCTTACAATTTCCTCCACTGGATTATTTAGTCTACCATCTTTAAATTCACCTTACACAAAGTACTAGGTCAAGGACAAAACGTAAATTCTTTGCCAGAATGAAATGTATATGGCTTCTAGTCCATTTTTCAACACAGTCTTCATTTCTATATGAAACGTTATGAGCCCGGCCTTTACTGGCTGCTCTCTATGAACATCTGAGATCAATCCAGAATTGTCTATTAAGTTTGTCTAAAAGCATGCCAAATCCTTTCTGAACTTCTTCAAAATAGTTGCAAAGGCTTGTAAATCACGTGGCCAGATACACAGCAAAGTCTCCCTCATTTCTCTGGTACCAACTTTCTGTACTAGTTATTTCTCCATTCTGGGACAAATACTTGTTGTAGTGATACCATCAGAGTGTTACAATATAAATTTAGTAAATATTATGATATCTGGGACTAGATAGGGAATAAAACTATTTGATATCTCTTATCCACCACCCAAAATTTGAAAAAGAAATATATTTGGCTCAGTAGGTTCAGTTCATGGTCACCTGGCTCCAAGGCAAAAACAGCAAATGAAAGCCAGGGTGCAGAAACAGAATGAGGAGTAGGAGCAAAAATATACCCTTCCAGATCTTATGCCCAGTGACACACCCTCCTCCAACAAGGCTCCCGCTCCTAACAGCACAGTCAGCTATGAACAAGAGCTGGACAAACCCACTGATGAGCATAGCAATTCCACAATCTAGTGACTTTTCAAAAGCTCCACCTATGAATACATGAGACTTGGGGAGAGGCAGTAGACCATAAGACACACACACACACACACACACACACACACACACACACACATGCACATACACATAGTTGCTAACATAAGCGCTCACATGAGCACACACATATAAACCTTCTAAATTTTTTTGTTTTAATGGCATTACGGTGTTTTCTTTAAAATCTGTACACCAAGAAACTAAATAATGTATTAAAGAAAATTATAGGTGGAGAGTTCCACTCGTTACATGTGTTAAAATGTTAAACAGTGCCATCAATGTAAGTATGTATCTAGATCATAGTCAGTGGGTGCTAACGGATTGCATGACAGGTTGGTGGGGCACAGAATATTATAAGGATCATGCCAGTATCTCTGGACTAATAAATAATTTTAACATCCTTAAGTGTATGAGAGTACACATTGTTCAACTCCAAATGTGCAACAAGAACTACACATCTTTTATGAAACATCCTCCAGAAAAAAGGTTCAGTTTCAGTTGATCAAACCTTTAGAGCTTATGTTCATAATTCCAGGTTATAAACAACTATTGATGATGCAGGAATGAATCATAAGAAGTCAAGGAAATAATCTACCAAATCCAGTGTTGTATGCAGGAAAATATTCAGGTTTTCCAAGTCAGTTCAATGCATTCAGAAAGACAAGGGAAAATAGTACTTTTATGGAATACTTAACTTAAAAAAGCAGCATGATTACAGAATAGAATCTTGTATGAGCTCTGAGGTTGTAGACTAAGTGATGCCAAGTCATGGGAAACTCTGAGGACCTCCTAAAGTCTCCAAAGTGAATTTTAACTTGCTTTGCTAACTTTAACCCTTTTTTTAGACAAATCTTTTAGACAAAAATTAGAGATCATGTTCCAACTCAGCCTATGTTCTTACCTCTCTGTAAAGCATGAATGGGAAGTAGATTCTTCACAGAGAGCTGCTCTACTGTCCAAGACCTCTGCCATTTAATTAAACATATATTGTACCCCATGAATATATATATATATGTATGTGTGTATACATATATATATATATATATATATATATAATTATTGTCTATCAGTTAAAAAACAAAATAAAAAGTAAGATAACTTTAAACTAGGAAAAACAGAAATATGCAATATGGTCAGAGGACATGCTGCAGTCAAAAGGACTTCTAGAAATTCCTTCTAACCACAGCCCGCGAGAAGACAACTCACAACTGTGGTTGCACCAGGCAGCCTGATTAAAAGGAATGTCTCATTCTGTTACACAAAAAGACAAAAAAAGAAGAACAGAAGGCTTTTATTTTGAAAGTAAATTTTCTGTATCACAACTCATGTCTCCTCTATCACACACATTGTCACAGCATTCAAACGTGAAAACTGAAGTGGGCCTTCCAAGGTCATGATCCCCCTGACTATGCATTCTGTCTCCTGCAGCAAGTCTTACAGGCCTCTAGCTAACAGTGTATCCACTAAGGGACTGTCCCATAGAGAGTGTGTTCTGGTAGGGCT